CATAACTCATCGAATTCAACTGGAAAGTTCTTCCTTACTTAGAAATTTATTCACTATTCAGGGTCTGCCCTATTTATGGCAACGGACGTTTGCTATATAAAAAGAAATTGATTTCTAGGAGACTTTTCTTTTATAATGAAGCTTAATATCATCTATTTTATATTGCAGAAGTCTAAGATGTCTAAATTTACTATTACTTATGGCAGTAGATCATGAAAAAGGCGAGAATAATTCAGTCGTTGCAAACAAGCTCCAAATTCGTCGTGAAACTGTGTGGAACACAGTAAAAAAATTCAAGGAAACTGTTGAAGCATGCAATCGACCTGGTCACGGAAGAAAACGAAGTGTCCGAACAAAACAAGTGGTCAAAAGCACGAGGGAGAAGTTGAGGAGAAACCCTCGTCTCTCAGCTGCAAAATTGGCTGCATAAGCAGGAGTCAGTCAGACATCAATGCGTAGAGTCCTCAAAGATGACCTAAAAACCTCCCCTTACAAGTTGCAAACAAGGCATGAACTAACAGACTGTCATGAACGAATGAGGCTCAAAAGATGCCAGCACATTCTGGATCTCATTGAGGAGTGCACGCTGCCCAACTTGGTGTTCAGTGACGAGAAAAATTTGACATCGAACAAAGCGTTAACCGTCAAAATGACAGAGTTTGGAGTCGGGATGGATTTTGGGCAACCAGAACAGCAACACGACGTCAAAATTCCATGTCCGTGATGGTTTGGGCAGCGGTAACCGCCACTGGGAGGTCCGCACTCGTTTTTGTCCCCTCAGGAGTGAAATTAACAGTCAGCGATACATTTCGGACATTTTGGAAGCTGTGTTGTTACCTAAACACTTCAACGGCTCACCATGGAGTTTTCAAAAAGACTCTGCCCCATCACATGGCTCAAACATGACCCAAAACTGGATTCAGGGTCACATCCCAGCGTTCATTAGCAAAAATGAATGGCCCTCAAGAAGCCCTGATTTAGATCCTCTCGACTTTTCTGTGTGGGCTATTTTAGAGAGTAGGGTCTGCAGAACACCTCATGATTCTTTGAATAGTTTGAAGTCTAAATTGACACGAGAATCGGACTTGATCCCTCAAGAAATGCAGCGTGTCTCCTGTGAAGCTTTCCCGCGGAGATTGTAGGCCGTCATTAAAAGTAAGTGTGGTCAAATTAGAATAGAATAAAAGTGTCGGCATTGGAGAAAATAGGCCCATGGCCTGTTACCGATTCTTGAATTTTTCGTGACTTGATTCACAAGGGATCCGGCCTTTGGAACCCGGTCTTTCCATAACTGACGATTGATTGAGATAGTTGCTGGACTTATTGCCTGCACTGAAACAAATCGATGTGTTAGTTGCAGACATGTCAACTAGCTAAAACGCTCAATGTAGCAAAACGAATCATTCCGAAACGTTCGTTCGCCGTTTTCTCAACAGTTCGTTTGCCGTTTTCTCTAATTTTCGCTCAGCCAGCGATAGCCGCTGCAGCTAGCCAGATGACGTCATGGCAGGACCAATAATGAAAACCGAAAATTTACATGCAAGTTCGAATTTAATTGTTAACAAAAATTTATAATAGTTTAAATATTCCTAAAAAATGCACAAATTTGAATTATTACGTTTTTGTGATATAATGCACGTAAAAACACATCCACAATTAAGCTTTATAGTTTTCACTTTCAGCATTGCTGTCAGTTTTCTGGGGCATTGAGCATTCAGCGGCTGACACTTGGCGCGAAAGTTGAGAGGGAATCTGTTGTTTGCGTAAATTTAATGTCATACGTAAAGTTGGCAAGCTTATGAATAATTTGTATAGGTTTTTTATGTTGTGTGAATAATCAGCCCCGAATCATGAATTTGTCATTGCGTATCTATTGTATTTTGTACTCCAATACATGCCCAAAACTGGCACTTACACCGTTGGGCGTTGTACGTGCAGTGCGAGTGCAGTAACCATTGCGTATACCTAATTCAGAGCATAACAGGCTGGAATTCTAAAATTCGTGGTTCACATAAAAAAAGCGTTCCACCTTAAAAAAACGTTCCAGGCAACTAGAAACAGGTTTACAGGCCGTCAGAAATCGGCTTCGGTTGCGGTAGCTAATGATCGTATGAACGTCAAGTCAGGCAACAAAGAGAAGGTCCCATGCAAGATTGTTAATTGCGCGCGTCACTCACAGATAAGCAAGAGTGATGGATCTACAAAAGGAAATACTATTTATGGTACTCCCAACATAATAGTTTCAAATTAAATATAAAAAAAAACATTTATGGCACCTATTCGTTACCTCAGCTTTCAAATTGAGGAGAAACTCTTCGACAGTTGGAGAAACTTCTCTAAGAAAAGGCAATGTACAACAAACAACATGACACTTAACAGTTGACTGACTAGAATAGACTCAATAGTCAATAGAGTACTCGAAAGTCAAAAATTTAGCATTCAAACCTTTAAATTCTGTGAACCTTATGATTTCTTCATTATTAAAACTTTAGAAGGCTCACAATATATCACGTAAAGTTTTCACTCAATTATCGTCTCGAAGTTCAGGAGCTTTATCTGCAGTAATGTTCTGTAGGTACCTTACCCACTGATTGCTTAATGAGAACTAACCTTCATAGATTCCCGCCACGCGGCCACTGTTGCACACGATTTATTCTGCATGCATGAATAATATTTACGAAGGTTATTAAATAATTCTGATTTCTGTTGAATGGCAGTTACTGATAAATTTTTAATATAAAAGAATTCGTATCTTTTATTTTTTCACATGACTATATTGATGTCGGTTTCACATTGGTTGCCGGTGCGGTTGGTATCCCTGCTACCTTCTTTTTTACATTTTTTGTTCGGCTGATCGCAACGAAAGGAGATTGTATGTCTCAGCGTCAGCTGATTGCATCGGTGGTCAGTTTTGTATTTGTGGATTGAATCATAGGCATTTTTTCATGTATTTGTGATTGAGTGTACATAGTGAAGATGTTATTCTTTGCGATTTCCATCAACAATGGCATAACTGCACTATTGTATTACGCTCTTGAAATAAGAATTTTAGCATTACGCATCAAGTTAGCATCAGTGCGTTAACATTGTGTGCATTTGAAGGCGGTCCCTTCTAGCTTTCTATCGCTGATCGGATTCCAGTGGCTGTGACGTTGCACACGTTCTAGCGATGATTGGATCCCTGTGACAGTACGTTGGACGCGTTCAAGCGTTGATTGGATTCTTGTGACTGTTACGTTGGACGCGTTCAAGCGTTGATTGGATTCTTGTTACTGTGTGTTACTGCGAGCGCTGTTTTTTTCAATGAAACAGCTGTGGCATCTTGCAGAGACTTTTAGGGATTAGGAGGAGTGAGGGCTGTTCAAGTATGGTGTGAATTGAGATATATAAGTGGTAACAGCGGTTCCTCATCCGATCCCTATTGTTTTTAGTATATAGGCATCACGTGGGGCTTGAGTAAAAACCAGAAGGTTTTAGTATGTTTATTGATGGGTTGAAGAATGACGGCACGACCAACACCTGTGGGGCGGTGTGTCATTAGGATACAAACATGACATGAACAAAATAATAATTAATATTAATGTTTAAAGAGATAATAAAATAGCAGAAAACAATATTAAAAATAAATTGAGAGCAAGCCATGATATAGTTCTGACGGTTACACTTTAAAATATTTAATCACAATTAGCTAAATTTATATTGAACGATCGGCTGAGCCTCTCACCCCGTAACCCTTGAGATCTTAACACGTCGACGTGAAAAAGCAAAGTGATTCTACCGTATGGTTCTAGCTCTGTCCGCTAGCACGCTCTGAACGAAAATCCCAACTGTCGAGTGATCGAATTAAATATAAAAAGTATTTTGTCGTATATCGAACTATAATGTAACTCAAAATCATACGAATATTATTAGTGTTAGAAAATTGAGAATATCTCTTGACAGAATGTTTGCATGATTATTCAAAGTTAAATTGACGACCTAGGAAGTAATAGGCAAGTTTCTAAGTAATTAAGTTGGGAATAGCTATAGAAATTGGTGATAAACGAGTTTGAAGAGTTAATAAAAATAATCACGACATTCACAAGAAATTATAGTGCGAGTTATGATCGAGTCACTACAGACTCATCAGTGATGATGATGGACTGAAAGTGGAAGTGTGCTGGACGTTCCAGATTTTTGGGTCCTGAATTCCGATTTGCTATGTTTACCAGTTAATATATTACCCTCACTCAGCATAGACTGAACCGATTAGTCACTGTCTTACATTCTATTGTGCTACTGTTACAGTATAATATGCGAGATCACAATTTTTGAAGTGATGGATTGGTTGACTTAGCCTTGATTTGATGTGAGGCATGTGACTTGATGTGACTTATCCACACACAACAGGTGGCTTTGTTGTGGGTGTCTGGGTGAAATTGAATCATTTTCTTTAATTATTGTAATAGGAGTTATCAATTAGGAATAGGATTATGTGCACGGTGAGTAGGTGACATTATTGAGTGTTTATTCAGGTGATTTCATTAATTGGCCAGGGAAAATTGTTTCATTTATGGGTGAATTCTCTGTTGTTTTATATTTGGAAGTTGGAACAATTATGAAAGGATGATCCACAACCTCTAAACTCTAATGTATTAAGACGTCACCTTGTATAATCACATGAATAATACTCAACACTAGCCTGCCAAACACAAATCACTGAGTATCAGCAGTATACTTTTTTTATTGGTGTATAAATCTCTTCCCACAGCCTACTACTCGGGACTAACCTCATTGAGACAATGAACCACTTATGCTGTTCCTTCTGTAGTTTTTCTTCTAAATTTCACTCTATCCAAATGGATTTTAACATGGAGATATCTGGTACCCAGTCACTTCTCTACCTTCTGATATCTCCGCTTCTGGATATCATAAGAAGATATTTGGTCAATGACTGTGGAGAAAGTTACAGGACCTAGTATTCTAGTAATTTATAAAAAAATTTTATAGTTAGGTTTTTCCAGCTCATTCCAGCCTGGGTGGTTTTAAGAAGCTTTCACTATATACTTTCTTTTATGTCTAATTTTTGAGAACCATATTGAAAAACAGTCTATTAAATTGTGTACTAGTACCTCCACAGCAGCACAACCCACTGTAAGTAGTAAGCTTAAAGCCACTAGCTTCATGTAATAATAATTTTGTAATGTGAATATAATCCATTTGTTCCCTGAAATTTTCTATCTAGCAAGAGATCTTGATCATCAAATTTTTAATTATTTGGACAAAATACAGTTATTGAAAGCAGCACTTCTCATACTTTAAAATTTGAAAAATAAACTTTAAATTTGCGATTAAATAGAGCATTATATTTTCTAAATTATGTAATTCTGGATTGCTTTCTGCAGCTGCAACGAATCGTGTTGGAGGCTGTTCCTGTGGGCATCATACAGCCCATGGGCATCATACAATGCTTCTGTGATGCAGTGTGACAACTCTCGAGAACCTGGTCTGCTATTTACCTTCAAAATTTACATACATTTTATATATTTTCAATTATATAAATGTCTAATATATTCAATTATCTGCACATATATTTACATGTATATAAATATAATTTACAAGTAGCTTATTTCTGATGTGTACCATGTTGTTGCCCTTTAAATGATATTAATTCATTACAGCAAATAATGCTTGGTGTATAGACGTGGTTGTCATGGCCATCATCTTAACATGGATGAGACATGAGGTTATTCTTAGGAAATTAATTCATCCTATAGGATATTTGATTCATGTAGGCTAATCGATTTATTCGGTACGTTATTATTCTTGTAAAGCAATAATATTCCTATCTCTCCATTATTGTGATTTTGGGCTATTTTTCAGGAGCGAGCCCCAAACAGAACCCTCTCGCCGTGGACGACCGTCATCGGCTGGAAGAGGCGACCAGAGTGATGCAGGAGGACTTGAGAAGCAGAATGATATGAAGCATTGAAATGAAGAAGCCTACATGCCAGTCAACATTCATTAAATAAATTGGGCTGCCTCGACCCCACCCCAGTTGCACTCCCCAGTCACTGTCTCACTCTAGTCACTCTCTCACTCCAGTCACTCTCTCACTCCAGTCACTCTCTCACTCCAGTCACTCTCTCACTTCAGTCACTCTCTCACTCCAGTCACTCTCTCACCCCAGTCATACTCTCACTCCAGTCACACTTTCACTCCAGTCACTCTCATTCTAGTCACACTCTCGTTCCAATCACACTCATTCTAGTCACACTCACACTCCAGTCACACTCTCACTTCAGTCACACTCCCACTCCAGTTACACTCTCACTCCAGTTACACTCTCCCAGTTACACTCTCACTTAGTCTCACTCCAGTTACACTCTCACTCGTTACTCTCTCACTCCAGTCACTGTCTCACTTCAGTCATTCAAACTCCAGTCACACTCTCAATCCAGTCACACTCTCACTCAAGTTACACTTTCACTCCATTCACTCTCATTCTAGTCACACTCTCACTCAAATCACACTCTTACTCCAGTCATTCTCTCACTCCAGTCACACTTTCACTCCATACGCACTCTCACTCCAGTCACACTCTCACTCAAGTTACACTTTCACTCCAGTCACTCTCATTCTAGTCACACTCTCACTCCAATCACACTCACACTCCAGTCACACTCTCACTCCAGTTACACTTTCACTCCAGTTACACTCTCACCCCAGTTACACTCACTCCAGTTACACTCACTCCAGTTACACTCTCATTCCAGTTACACTATCACTCCAGTCACTCTCACTCCAGTTACACTCTCAATCCAGAGTATTCTAATAAAATGACGTATTACCTACAGTGTTCTTTCTTAACCTATACTATTTTCATTATATTTGTTGTTCTATTTCACCAGACTGCAGAGAAACGCCGGTTGGTGGTTTACTGAGGCTTTTTATATTGAGCGCTGATATTTACGCGCTAATAGTAGCTTTGAAAGAGCCCTAATAGTAGCTTTGAAAGAGCCCTAATAGTAGCTTCGAAAGTGCCCTAATAGTAGCTTCGAAAGAGCCCTAATAGTAGCTTCGAAAGAGCCCTAATAGTAGCTTCGAAAGAGCCCTAATAGTAGCTTCGAAAGAGCCCTAATAGTAGCTTCGAAAGAGCCCT